GAGTCGTTACCCTGTGCCCCAACTTCGAACATCTCCCAAATCGGCCTCATCAAGTTCAAATGAATATCCTGGTTCCAGGACGAGTTTTGGAACTCTTCTTCGACTTCTCCGAGGGCATCTGGATATCGCATTTTAATGTTCATCTCCATGGGCTTTCTGTGGGAGAACGGCACCTCGTTGCTCGGGCTCTTCGGGCTCGTCTTGCAGATGCCGCATCCTCGCCCACTACTAGGCTGGTTATTGTGGCTGGAGATTTGAATATGGCCGACTCGGCCCCGCGCTCGCTGGACGCAGACCCTTCCATTGACCCGCTAGTTACCCTTCGAGATTGGCGCGCTTCCAGGGATGCGATTTTGAGCACAGTTTTCAGCTCAATGACTGAAACCGAGACCCCCGACCCCACCCACTACGACCGCGCGCTGGGAACCCTGAACACCATATATCGGATCTTCGTGAGCTTTCCTGGGTGGGTCTGCAACCAGCTATTTACCAGCGGCCAGGTCAGTAAGGTCCCAGAGGTCCTCCACGCCCAGGGCCTCTCTGACCACGCGCCGCTCGTGGTCAGCCTCGCTGGTAGTCCTCCGATCCCGTCTGGCGCACGCCCCATCCCGAAACGTGTTTTCCTCCAGCCCGAGTACAAGGAATACTTCAGTTCGGTTGGGACCCTGGGAGATACCTGCCACCTCTCCCCACCTCTCCTCCTCCAGTACCAGGCGAGGATCATGAGGGAGGCAGCGTCTGTCGCTAGGAACGCCATGATTGTGAAGCGCCCCGAGTCGATAGATACCAAGTTTTTGATTATCAAGAGCATCAGCAGAGCAGTTTGGAGGCAGGAAATCATTTTAGCAGAACGACTCAGAGCGTCACACTTCTTGGCCCGTCACTACTTGGACGTGGACGTCCTCGCGCGCACGGTGACCCTCCTGCGCGTTTTTGAATTCTTGCAGGTCTCCTCCGAGCTCCACAGGAGTATATCTGAGCGCGAGCAGGCTGAGATCAGGGCTAGCCTGACGAGGGTGCACTCAGAGAACCAGAAGAGGAAGCTCAAGAGAAGACTCCGCGCTGTGGTTCAGCGCAGTCGCCTTTGGAGTCCTTTTGACCGCCGAGTTTCGCTTCGTGGCGTGCGCAGTGGGGATGATGTCTGCACGGAGCCTGGAAAAATTATGGAAGTATTAGCCCAGCTTTGGTCCTCTGTTTTCTCGAAAAAGCAGATCGACTCCAAGAGCGCCCAGAGGTACCTCGACCGTTTCGGCGTCTCCCCTGACCTGATGGACCTGCCCCCTCCCTCCGTTCGCTCCGTGAAGAAATACATCGAGGGCCTCGAGCACTCGGCCCCTGGCCCCGACGGGCATCCATTCGCTGCGTGGCAAGGGCACCCTGAAGGCGTTCTTATTCTTGACAAAATGACGCGGTGGATTCTCAACGGTAACCCCCAATGGCCTCCTTCAATGACCTCCGCAAGGTGTTCGCCCACAAAGGCTCCGAGGCCTCCGACGAAGTCGCCGTTCATCGGGGCCCCGGCCAGACTCGCCCCCTTGGTTCCATAAGTGCCTCGAACAAGATCATCACTGGAATCGTTTGCCGAGAACTCAGCAAAACCCTGGATACCTTCATTGCCCCGATACAACGTGGCTTTGTGGGCGGTCGGAACTTCGGGGCCAACATACTCGAGCTAGATACATACTCCAGGGTGTACGGCATGCATATCATGGATCCAAATGTAGCCATCTCGCACAAGCCAGTTCTTGTCAGTTTCGATTACGGCCAGGCCTTCCCGTCCATTGCGCATGAATGGTTGTTAGTGTGCCTTCGACGGCTTCGCATCCCCTCCCCGCTCCTCTTCTTACTCGAGATCCTCTACAGCTGTCCGGTGCTTCGTGCGCACCAACAACGCGCTCCGCTTCGCCTTCAAGATAGAGAGTGGCATCATCCAGGGCTGCCCCGCCTCGGGCATGATCTACGCCATTGCATCGAATCCCTCCCTGTCCGACATTGACGCCTCTCTTCGTGCACGCCCTCGGCCCCGCGGGGGCAATCGGCGGGCTCCTCGCGAGATAGGCATTGCTCGAGCGCGCGCTGATGACGCGGGTGCTGCGCTTCGACAACTAGCCGACCTCCGTGTTCTGAAGAGGCCCTTTGACCTGAGCCTCCGTCTCGCGGGTCTCACCTTGAAGCCGACCAAGTGTTTCATTACCCCTCTGGGGAGCGAGTTCTCACAAGAGGTCAGCGAATCAATCGCGAATTGGCTGCGCGTGCAGCTTCCAGAGTGGGCCGCGTTCCAGGTTGTTCCGTTTCTGACTTACCTTGGTTTGGTGCTCGGTCCTGGGGCCGAAAAAAAAAGCTGGACTGGACCCACTCGGAAATGGTTTGCCCGAGGCTGCGCTATAGCGCGGGCCAGACCTCCCACAGCTGTCACGCAATATCTTTATAACAAGAGAGCTGTTCCCACGATTGGATATGTGGCTCAGTTCATTCCCCTCCCCTCCTCGGACCTCGTTCGCTTGACTCGCTCGGAGCATGCCCTCTTCGCCTCTCTCTTTCGTGTTCCCCACTGCTCCTTTTCCCGCGCTGGCTGGTTCGCCCTATCCTCCTGGGGCGGACCCACCGTGAACGGTATAGTTGTTCTTTCTCTTGCCTCTCTGATGCTGACTGCTCTGGCGACGCCCCCTGAATGGGAACCGCTTTTCGAGTTTCTCCGAGGGACGGCTCTCGATCACCTGACCCTGCAGGAGATCGGGGAAGGAAAACTCAGCCCGTCCTGGTGGAAATCCCCACCTCTGGTGCAAAATCTCTCCCAGGCCGCTGCGGGCTTCTCGGGCCACACCCAGTGGGCACAGGCTGGCTCCCTTGCACTGCAGGCTGCCCGCGCGTGTCTCAACCCTCCGTGCCCCAGCAATTCAGAACCTAGGCCGCCGACGCCGAAGGTCCAGCGTGTGATTTCCGCCTCGCTCCAGTGCTCTCTGTTCCCTGACCTCCTCCCTTCGATGTTCTCCTCTCGCCTCCTGGGCTGGTTCCCCGACCGTCGGGGCGAAATTCAAAGCATCAGCTGGACTAAGGTGAAGGCGTGTCTTTCGGCCCTCCCAATAGGATTCAGCTCAGCTGTGCTCAAAACGATAGCTGGTGCACGGGTGACTTCAGCTAGAATGCACGATGACTCCCAACGGGGATGCATGATGGGATGCGGAGGCCCAGACACTTTTCTGCATTATTGGGCGCGCTGCCCTGTTTTCCAATATCTGCTAGCCCTCATCATCCAGCCGCTCCCGTTCCTCGAGTCTCCCATTGCTCGTCTTGGTCTTTGCTCTCCCTGTCGCGCTGACTTCGAGCCTGCCGCTGCTGGTCGTCTCCTCTTCAACGCCGCCACTGCCTCTCGTGCCTCTCAAGCCGATGCTTCATTGCCCCTCGCTGGCTGTCGCATCTTTGAACTGCAGCCTGCAGTGCGGTCCGCACTAGCGAGGCTCCGCGTCGCGGGCGCGGGCGCGGGCTCGGAGTAATCGACTTGGCGCGCCTCGGAGACGCGCCAGGAGTTGGAGGAGGAGTTGGAGGAGGAGTTGGAGGAGGAGTTGGAGGAGGAGGAGGAGGAGGAGTACAACACGCTCCCAGCGCATGAATGCCCATATCGAGCATACGCCACGTAAACAATACACCAATTACACTAAACACAAAGCGTACGCACACCCTGCGCCCCTCCCGCCAGGCACACCCCGCACGCGCACCGTACACCCCCCGCCCGCTCGCCAGGCACACGCCCCGCACGCACACCGTGCACCTCCTCCCCCCGCCCCCTTGGCACACCCTGTACACGCCCGCGCACGCACGCGCACACACGCACACAGCCGCCCACACACACACACACACACACACACACACACACACACACACACACACACACACACACGCACACGCACGCACACGCACGCACGCACGCACGCACGCACACGCACGCACGCACCACACACACACACACACACACACACACACACACACACACACACACACACACACGCGCGCACGCACGCACGCACGCACGCACGCACGCACGCACGCACGCACACATATACACACGGACACACACACACACACACACGCACACACATGCACATGCACATACGCACACAAGCACACAAGCATAGGCCATGCGCAACACCTGACCAAAGGAACCGCAGGCAACCACTAAACACGAGCTACCAATGGCGACCAGCTGGGCACTTAGGGGAACCCGGCGACTGCATCCATGTGCACGCATGCGCGTTGGTTGCAAATCCATGCGCGCGTGCGCACGCAAGCTCAGAGAAGCAGCGCTTCCCGTTCTTGTCCGGAAAGGTCCTTTAAAAATCGGCTCTGGAAGGGGTTCCGAACCAGCATTATCTCGGAATCGCTCCTGGAGAGCCTCGAAACGGCCCCATAGAGCCCCCGAAGCCCCCCCAGGGAATCCCCAAAGTGCACCAAGAGACTCCCAAGAGGCCCCTAAGAGCGCCCCAAGAGGCCCTGGGACTGTCCAAGAGGGCCACAAGACGGCCCAAGACAGCCCAAGATGGCTCCAATATGGCCTGAGACAGCCACCACAGAACCCTAAGACATGCCCAGACAGCCCAAGAAGACCCCAGTAGCCCCTAAGAGGACCCCGACAGGCCCCCAAGAGGCCCAGGATGCCCCAAGAGCCCAAGATGGCCCCAGACGGCCTCAATAGCCCACAGGGTATCCTCAAAAGATCACGAGGACTCCTCTTTTCTTCGACGTCCTTCTCGTCGGGCTCCTGACCGTCCTTCGTCGTCTTCGTCGTCGTCGTCGTCGTCGTCCTTCTTCTCCTCCTCCTCCTCCTCCTCCTCCTCCTCCGCTTCGTTTCTCCTCGTATTCGTCCTCCTCCATCTCTCCCTCGTCCTCGCGTTTGTCTTCCTACTCGTCGTCCTTCTGACCCCTTCGCTGCCCTCCCCGTCATCCACGCTGCCATTTTCGATGTCCGCCGCCTTGTCGTCATCATCCTTTCTTCTTGTCCCCCCTACGAGCCCAATAGACAAAATCGGTGCTTCCCGTTCTTGTCCGTTCAGGTTTTCCTGACATCCCGCCTCTGCCCTATCACGCCTTGACGTCCCCCCGAGCAGGCGTCGCGGAAGCGCGGGGCTGACCAGATGGACGGCGACAACGACGAGGGACATGTCATCCCCGACCAGGTCTTCTTGGCGCGCCTGCCGCAGAACATCGACGAGGATTCGCTCCGCAAGGTCCTGAAGAAGTGCGGCAAGATCGAGAATATCCGCCTGGCCCGCGATGAGCACGAGGATGGCCGACCCTGCAAGGGCTTCGGCTGGGTGACGTTCTCGTCGCCCGACGAGGCCGAGGCTGCGTGTGGACTGGACGGCATGCTCGAGGTGGGCGGCAGAAAGATGTCGATCTGCCTGGCGCGCCAGCGGCAGGGGGGGCGCTCGGGCAAGAGGCGCGAGGTGCAGATTGTGATCGAGCCGCACGCCGACTGCTGGTTCTGCCTCATAAACCCCAAGGTGGAGAAGCACATGATAGTCACCGTGTCTCCGATGGCCTATGTCGCGGGCGCGAGGGGGCCGGTCAACGACGCGCACGTGCTGATCATGCCAGTGAAACACGCTCCCTGCTACGCGGCCTGTCCACCAGACCTCCAGAAGGTTCTCGACGTGCACGTTGCCGCCATCCGAAAGATGTGCATTGCGGAGGGCGAGGAGGTCCTTGTCTGGGAGCGCTGGATACCGATGGGGGTGTCGGCCGCCAATCACATGCAGATCCAGCTGGTGCCCATCGAGAGGAAGCAGGCTGGGAGCGCTCGCGAGGAGTTGGAGCGACTGGCGCAGATTCACCTCGGAGGCGGCTTGAAGAAGATCAACTCGCACAAGGAGGTCGTTGAACACCTCAACGACGATTCCACCACGCCCTACTTGTATTTCGAGTGCCCCGGCGACGCCACCGCCAAGGGCCGAGTGGTAGAGAGGTGCTCGGGGCAACTGAAACTGCAGTGAAGTTATGATTGGCGCCCCATGGAAGAGTAAGGAGAGGGAGGAGGGGAGGAAGAGGAGGGAAGGGAGAGGAGGAGGAGGAGGGAACGGAGAGGAGGAGAGGAGGAGGAGGAGGAGGAGGACGAGGAGGAGGAGGAGAAGGAGGACGACGACGACGAGGTGGACGAAGAGGAGGAGGAGGAGGAGGAGAAGGAGGAGGAGGACCAGTGTAAACCCAAGAGTCACCAACGATGTTGGAATAAACCCTCACCCCAAGCTGCTTATCTCCCTCTTTATAGGCCCCTACAACGGGTTCATTTCCACAGAGGGACCTGCCTCGTTGGAAGACGACCGTTTGAAGACCTTGGTGCATGCCAAAGCATTATTGTCTGTATTCCAGCGCCACGGAGGAACCTGGCTGTTGCGTCTTGGCGATCCTGAATCCTGCCAGAACGCCATTCCTGGGACCTCAACTCCGCGAATCATCAGAACCGTTGCGCCCTCAATATCGCGAATCCTTCCAAAACAATGTCTGGTACGTCGATCATGGGATCCTGTGAAACTCTTGCAATGTTTTAGATAAGTGTGTGCGCGGCGCTGAGGCGAGAGCCACATTTGGAAAAGGATCCGCCCTCAATCCGTGAAACTCTTGCAAAGTTTGAAAACGAATGTACGCGGCGTTCAGGCGAGAGCCACATTTTCAAAACGACACGCTTTCAATCCGTGAAACCCTTTCGAAGTTTGAAAACGAATGTGCGCGGCACTACGGCGAGAGCCACATTTTGAAAACCACCCGCCCTCAATCCATGAAGCCTTTGAAACTGTTTAGAACAAGTGAGCGCGGCGCTAAGGCGAAAGCCACATTTTGAAAACCTCCCGCCCTCAATCCGTGAAACCCTGGGCAATTGTTGGAAACAAATGTGGGCGGCGCTAGGGCGAAAGCCACATTTTGAGAACGACCCGCCCTCAATTCGTGAAGCTCTTGCAAAGTTTGAAAAACGAATGTGCGCGGCGCTAAGGCGAGAACCACATTTTGAAAACGACCCGCTCTCCATCTGTGAAGTTATTGCCAATTTTTTAGCCTCAGGGTCACAAATGGTGAGGAAGTCTCAGGCGAAACGCCCAGCCCGCCCGAAAAACTGGCCTCGGGGTGCGACAGGGAGAAATTATTTATAAGGAGAAGGAATGGAGGAGGAGGAGGCGGCGGAGGAGGAGGGGGAGGGGGAGGGGGAGGGGGAGGAGTAGCAGGAGGAGCAGCAGAAAGAGCTGGAGGAGCAAATGGAGTGAGAGGAGTAGGAGAGCAGGAGATTAGGAGGAGAAGAGGCAGGGGGAGGAGGGAAGGAGGGGAGGAGGATCAGAACAAAAGGAGGCCAACTTGCAATCGCCTCCGCGGCTTTCGCTGCCAAGAGGTACGTCTATGCCGGGGGGAATTCCAACGCGAGGATACCGATGAATTTCGGGCGCGAGTGGGCGTGCAGCTTGCTGGACGCGAGGGACAGGCCCAGCAGACCCCCCTAGCGCCCACCGATATGATTGCCCCCCTCTCCTCTCCTCGTCCTCCGCGTCCTCCTGGTTCCTGTCCTGGCCCATGTTCTGCTTGTTCTCCTTGCTCTTACCCCCCCTGTTCTCGTCTTCCTCATTAACCTCGTTGTCCTCGTCCTCCTCCTCCACGCCGTCCTCGTCCTGCTGCTGCTGCGCCTCCTCCTCCCCCTTCTCCCGAGGCTAGACTGGCGGCAGGTCCAAGACGACCGGCAGACCGAGGAGAGGCTGGCGAAGCGGTTCCGGGACGCGTTCCTCCCGTTCGAGCCCTCCAGGAAGGCAAAGTAGCGAGCGGTGCCCACAGCCGCGGATGCGCCGTGAGCGGGTGCCTTGAGATCCTGGCGTTGCAATTTTTTTCACAAGGGGCGTTTTCGCTCAATTTCTGGCCCCGGGAACTTCACGGATCGAGCCGGCTCCAAAAATGAGGCAGAACGATGGGGTTCGGGGCTCCGGACGTTTTTTTTTTGTGCGATGTTGCATTTGTTTTGCAACGTCGGATCTCAGGGTGGGGGCAAGGGTTGGGTGGGGCAGCCCTCCAGAATGGCAGGGGGCTTCTTAGGAGGCATGGGAGCTTCTTTAGAATCTAGGTCTTCCAGATGGGGTCCGCGTAGATGGGGTCGATCGCGCCGCATCGCCGCTGCATGGGAGATGCGGCTCGATGGTGGAGCCCGAGTTTCTCCACGCCGACGGCGCCGACGCGTCGCCGACGTCGGCGATACATCGGCGATGCATTGCCGATGCGGCGCGTGCCTCCGACCCCATCTACTGGGACCCCATCTGGGAGGCCATTCTGAGAAGGAGCTGCCCCTTTGAAGTCATGCCACGTCCACACCTTCCAAGGGGCGCTTTCTCAGAAGGATGCCCCTCTCTAGCCTTGCCCCTTTTTGGTGCCTGCCGCCTGCCTTCGAGCCCGCGAGGAGGGCAAGGTAGTTAGCGGTGCTCACGGCCTCGGAGCGGGTAAAAGACGAAAGAGGGAGGGTAACGCGTGGCCCTTCCAGGAGGAGGAGGAGGAGGCGGAGGAGGGAGGAGGAGGAGGAGGAGGAGGAGGAGGAGGAGGAGGAGGAGGAGGAGGAGGAGGGGAGGAGGGAGGAGGGAGGAGGGAGGAGGGAGGGAGGGAGGAGGAGGAGGAGGAGGAGGAGGAGGAGGAGGATGAGGAGGAGAGGGAGGAGGAGGCGGAGGAGGGAGGAGGAGGAGGGAGGAGGAGGAGGAGGAGGAGGAGGAGGAGGGAGAAGTAGAGAGCAGGAACGAGGAACAATGAGCGAGGAATGGGGAACGAGGGAAGAGGAGAAGGACGCCGCTCTTCTGTCGTTCTCACAGCGTCTTTTGTTTTTGTTCCTTTTCGCGCGCCACGGCCGTCAAAGGCAATCTTCCCGTAGCCTAAGTCAGCATGGGGTTATTGTTACTCGTGCCGTCACGTCTACGCCTCATCATCGCTCATTCCCGCCTCTCCCGTCGGACCATTCACGCTCAGACCTAATCACGTCTCTGACCACTCATACTCTGACCACTGACGTTTAGGCCCCGTCACACTCAGACCCACCCACCCATAGCCAGACGCTCACTCATATTCAAACTCAGCCAGACCCAGTCACGCATACCCAAGCTCACACTCTGATCACTCACATTCAGATCACTCCTGCTCAGACTAACGTTCAGACTTAAATTCGTACGTGTCCCATCCTCCGCGGGTGGAGGCATCGGCCACAATCTCGTCCTGAGGAACAGCGATCGGGAATCAGGGCTCCATCGGATTCACTGATACTCAGATCCACTCATGGGAGTGCTCACTCGTACTCGGATCACTCATACCCACACGTCTCACACCCATATCCACTCATACTCGGCTCAGTCATATTCAGACTCGCACATACAGGCCATATCCTGTCAGATCTTTCACACTCGAGCGCGCTAGTACTCAGATCCACTGGCACTCAGACCATTCATACTCATACTCGTCCGCACGCACACGCATGGACAGCGTCAGTAATGTTCGTGATCGTCGCGATATAGCAGTCATGGCATTCTGACCACCCGAAGGGGGAGCCCCCAGGGGATGACACGGGCCCGTTCGCGTCCACATTGTGGGGTTGTCTCGAGCGAGACGCCTGTTCGCTGCTCTGGACGCGTCTCTGTCCAGAGCTTTATGGTCATCGCGGTGTAGCAGGCATGGCATTTTGGAGCATCCTTAGGGAGCAATGCCCGTTCGTGTCTCTGGAAGCGTCTCTTTTCAGAGCTCACCGTGACGTAGAAGGCATTGCGTTTGTATCACCGAATGGGTAGTCGCACGGGGGTTCGCGTCCAGATTGCGGGGATGTCTCAGGCGAAGCGCCCGTTCGCGGCTCTGGACGCACTTTTTTCGTAGCCCTGTGATCACCGCGATGTAGCAGGCATGGCATTTGGACGACCCAGGGGTGGCATGGGGGGATCCGCCAGCGGGTATTGCACGGGCATGTTCGCTCCCAGATTGCGGAGATTTCTCGAGCTAAACGCCCGTTCGCGGCAGTGGACGCGTTTCTCTTCATAGCCGCATGATCACCGCGATGTAGCGGGCATGGCATTCGGACCACCCAACGAGGAGCCGCCAGCGGGCACTGCCCGGGCCCGTTCGCGTCCAGATTGCGGTGACTCTTCAGCGAAACGCCCGTTCGCGGCTGAGGACGCGTTTCTTTTCCTATTCCGCGCTCGCCGCGATGTGGCAGGCATGGCATCTGGACCACCCAAGGGGGAGCCGCTAGCGGGTATTACCAGGGCCCGTTCGCATCGACATTGTGCGGGCCTCTCGCGTAGAATGGCCGTTGGTGGCTCCCGACGCATCTTTTCAAAGTTCCACCACCACCGCGTTGTAGCAGGCATGGAACACTGGCCTCCCAAGAGGCCGCCAGGAGGTTTGGCACGAACCCGTTTGCGTCGAGACCAGTAGGACCTCTCGAGTACAATGGACGCTGTGGCTTTCGGCGCGTCTCTCTTCATGGCCTCAGGATTACCGCGATGTAGCAGGCGCAAGCCACTTACGCTTCGACTTGCCATGCTAATAAGACACCACGAAAGAGAACGCCGGAGCATGGCATGTAAATATGTTGATATCCGCGTCGAACAATTGTTTCGCTACGATCGAAGATGCCTACGGCGAACCATCGCCGCCCGCTGCCTTTTGGAAACGCCTATGCTTTATTTGGCCAAACGTTTGATCGAAGTCTTGTCAAGCTATTGGGCTACTTGTTCCCCCAGCCCTTGTGGAACCCTTGGGGGAACTCTTGTGGAAGGAAGAGGGGGGGGAAGAGAAGGAGGAGGGGAGGGAGGAGAAAGAGGAGGAGGCGAGGGAGGAGGAGAAGGAGGAGAAGGAGGAGGAGGAGGAGGAGGAAGAAGAGGAGGAAGAGGAGAAGGAGGAGGAGGAGGAGGTCTCTTAGGGTCCTTTAGGGGGGCTTCTGAGGGCCTCTTGGGGCTTCCCTTGGGTGCTTTGTGACAGTCTTGGAGGTCTGTAGAGCCGTCTTGGGGCCCTCTTGGGCCGTCTTGAGGACCTCTTGGCCCGTCTTGCGGGGCTTTCGGAGACCGTTGGGCCGTCTTGGCGGGGGGGGGGACGTCTCGGAGAGGAGAGTCGGAAGCCCGAAAAGGCGAGAACGCATCATTGAACATCCAACGGAGCATCAATGGTTTGGGCTTTCTGGAGGTCCTCTTGGAGCGTTATTGGGGCGTCTTGGAGACTTCTTGGGCAGTCTGTACGGCATCTTGGGCCGTCGTGGGCCCATCTTCGCCATCTTCGAGGCTTCTTTGGACCGTCTTGGAGGCCATCTTAGCCGTCTTGAAGGCCATCTTGGCCGTCTTGGAGAGGTTTGTTTCGGACGTTCTGGTTGTTGTGGGTGTTTCCGGGTTTGGGCCGAGACTCCTTTGCTGGAAATTTTGAAACAAAGACTAAACAGTCAAACGTTTGGCACGCCAGGCACTTTTTTGATAAATCAACTGGAGCGGCGGATCGAAACCGCCTACGGCGAATCATTGTTGCCCCCTGCCTTTTGGAAGCGCCCATGCGGCCAAATGTTGAGTCGAAGTCTGGCCAAACTATTGGAAGATGTGTACCCCCAGCAACACTTGCGAGAGCAAGAGAAAGGAGGAGGATAGGGAGGATAAGGATAACGAGGAGGAGAAATAAGAGGAGGACGAGGAAGAAGAGGGGCCCTCTTGAGGCTATCGTGCGGCCTCCTGGGGGCTTCCTGGGAGCCCTTGTGAGCTTATGATGGGGCTTCTTGAGGGCCCTCATCCTGGGGCATCATCTTGGGGGCATCTGGGGTCTCTCGAAGGCACCTCCTGGCCTTCGGAGGCCGTTTGGGGGCCCTCTCTGGGCAGTCCTGGGTCTTTCGTTGGGCCTTAAAGTCTTGAAGGTCTATGGGGCCGTCTTAGGGGGTCTCTGGGGATGCCTCGGAGCCCTCTTTCGCCGTCTTGCGAGGCCGTCTCGGAGCATCGGAAGCTCCAAACAACGAGACCGCCAAGATCTTTGAAACCATAGGGGAATATATGATTTTGACCTCCTGGACGTCCTCTTGGAGCCCTCTTGGGGCGTCTTGGGTGCATCTTGGGCCGTGTTGGAGGCATCTTGCGGCCATCTTGGGCTCTCTTGGAGCCATCGTTACCGTCTTGGAGACCATCTTGGAGCCATCTGGTGTGGACAAGTCCTTGCCGACTGTGCGTTCCGCAAGGCCAGAGGGATCGGCTGAGACTCCACTGGGAGATTTTGGAAGAATAAATCAAAACATTCAACCGTTTGGTACGCAAGGCACTCCTTGAGTAAATCAACCGCGGTCGGCGAAAATAGTGGCCTTCGGTCCATCCCGCCGCCGTGCCTTGGTCATGGGCCAGATGCCTCTTGGATCTCTTGGGTCAGGGCCTCTCGGGGGCCTCTGGGGAGCTTCTCGGGGGCCTGCTGGTGGTCTCCGAGGTCGGGCCGTCTTGAGGCCTTCTTGGGTCGTCTCTGGGCCCTCTTTGGCCGTCTGGGAGCCCTCTTGGGGGCTTCTTGGGCAGTCTTTGAGATCCTCTTGGGCCGTCTTGGAGCGTCGAACCCCCGAAACGGCAAGAACGCTAAAATCTGTCAAACTTCAAACACGAACTGGGAAATCGATGATTTGGGCCTCTCGAGGTCTTCCCCGGGGGGCCTCTTGCAGCTCTCTCGGGGCTTGTGGAGGCCATCTCGGGCGCCTTCTAGAGATCTTCGGGCGACTGGGGGCACTCTTAAACCGTCTCGGGGGCTTCTTGGTGGGACCATATTGGTCCGACATGGGCCCCTCTTGGCTCGGAGACATTCACGCGGGAAGGCCTGGGAGCGCCCGTGAGAGCCCAGGAGCGCCCGGAACTCCGGGTTGCGGGCCCCTTGAAGAGTCCCCCGCATTGGGTACGGAGGACTCTTAAAGGACCTGAGGACACTCCAACTCGTGCCT